GGGGGGGGGGGGGGGGGGGGGGGAAGGAGAGAAGGGAAGAGAAGAGAAGAAAAGGGAAGGGTGCCGTGCATACATACATCTACATACGTAGGTACATGCGGAGATGTATTGGTGGGTTTGATGGTTCTACACTTGGTAAAGGATCATCGTGTATGTAACTTCGTATAATGAGGAGAACACTACAAAAGAGCATGGTATCTGTAAAGCCTGCTTGCGCGTGTGTTGGATTGGGTTGTATTCTACATGGGTTCTACATGGGTGGTCGGATGGGTGAGTAGCTAGCCATCTAACTGAGTAAGTAACTGACTGCCTGCCTGCCTCACTTTACTGGCCTGGACGTCGTGGCCGGAGCTGCACGCCTCATTAATGACAACGACGGCAATCATTTCCCCAAACGAAAGCAAAGAAGGAAAGAAAAAAAAACGGGCAATGGCAAAAATATGGGCGACGAGAAGCTCAGCAGCAGCTTCAGCAGCGGGTATGCAACGGAACAAGGGAGGTTGACAAGGGAAACGACAGAGCTAAACCATTCTCAGCACGAGGTGCATGTGTGGGCTGCTCTAGATGAAGCCAGGTCTTTCTTTTGTTTTTCTTGCCCTTGCTAAACCCTTCTGAATCCTTCCCTCTTCTCATTTGTGCTTTTCGCGGGGGGAACGGCGGGAAAGGCGGGAAACTCCTTCGTGCTAAGGGTAGGGATTGGTGCGATATGATTGTGATGAAGGGGGGGCCATGGTTTATGAGCCTAGGTATGTATGATGATGGTGGTGGTGGTGGAGGTGTGGGTCAAAAGCCGCTTCTGTGTGAAGGCTAGTTTTGCACTGACTAGCTATCGTTCTTTGCTTTTTTTGTCTGAAGGAATGGGTGGGTTTTGGATCTATACCGTCTTGGGCGTTGCTATTGCGTTATACGCGCACGTCGGCTTTCTCTCGCTTTCGTATCGAGAAGGGAAAGTGGGGAGATGACGAGGGGGATAGACGGGCGGGCTGAAGGAAGGTAAGATGTGCATTTGTGCATATGTGCGTGTGCGGATGTGGTATAGAAGTGCCAAGGCAGCTATGCATGACATCTGTGATCGTGGATCGTATCGTGTGAGAACTGGGTCGGCGGCAGAGCATGGGGGTGTCGCGGCCCGCTCGGCAACACTCTTGCTTTGTAGTGTGAACTTATAAGATAAAGCTGTTATTGTTCAGCTCTGGGTATTGTCCCCGTGGTGTTGTGGGGGTTGTTTCTTTGTCCAAGTTGAAATTCCGTGTGGTTGACTGGAAAGGTACTTAGGCGAGCGCACACGTGCATACACAACATGCAGCAGCGCCGGTAGAGAGATAGCACCCTCACCGTCTTTTCCCTGCGCCTTGGTGAGAACAAAACGTGCAAAGGAACGGTCAAAAAATCAAAGTTTTGCATTGTTGTACCTTCTGGAACGGCTGTTCGCAGAATCAATTCGCAGACTGCATACCGATTTAGCCTCTGCGGGTTTCCTTTTTCTCATCTTCTCTACGAGCCAGTCGCGGAGGGCGGGTGCACATCCACGGGAACGCCTCATGCCACTATTATAGCCACGCTGTGCATATGGCCAAGGATTCGCTTCCAAGTTGCACGTATGCAAGGGATCTCACACCGTTCAGAATATGTCTGTATCTAGTAGACTGTCCGTCCGGGCTCTCGGATCAAGCTGCTTTCAACCTGCCTCCGGCATCGCACACGGCTGATTATCGTGTCTTATGCAGTCACTCGGTTCATGTTGGTGTTGTGTTTCACTGCAGCCGACCATGTCCACTCCTCCATCTCTTGCAGTATCTGTTCCTCTCGTGAGTGACCCAGCAGGTATAAACGGCTATCGGCTGCCTCACATGATCGCCTCAGTAACACGACAGGCTTGGATGGTATATGAGGAGTGATATAGCCAGGCTGGGTTCAACTGTTGTGCCTGGTCTTCCTGCAGCCCGCAGTGCACCTGACGATGATCTGAGCGCCGCATCAAAGACATGGCACAAGTATGGCGCCATGAATTAACCTCGTCAATGGTCGTACAACGGCAAAAATCAGAGCCGCACAGACTACCCCGCCCTGCGATATGGCTGGCTTCCGCGGTTCAAATCCGGAGACGGTGTTTGAGAGAGCCTTCTTGGAGTCCGTGCACAACAGCAACAAGTCAATGAAATTTGATAGTGGCCCGGAATTTGTGGAGTGTTCGCTGTACAGAACTACCAGCTGGGAAACCAGGACAAAATGCGACCCCTGGAAACATAGTCTGCCGTCATATACAGCCTGGGCGCAAGGTGTGATGCATCTACACTCGGATCCGACTGTGTGGATGCCTTATATAGTTGTGGATATACGTGGCTTCTCCTTTCTGCTGCTAAGGTAGAGAGGCATTGACTTGCAGTTCGCCAAATGCTCACGGCTTGCCATTCGCACGAGCATCGTCCAAGTCTGAGTCGGATGTGACGTCGGTGTAGTCGTTCATCTCCACATCTCCCGCTTCATGACTGCGGGACGAGCCATTGGCAACACCCATTTTCTTCTTTGCTCGTGTTTTGGCACGTTCCGCCCGCTTCTTTTCTTGGTTCATGAAGTAGTTATTTTCCTCACGCAACTCGGAGAGCTGGGAAAATGTAATCTTCTGGATACGTTGGAGGCTTGCAAGCTGTTTCTTCAATTCCTTGACTTCCGCTTGCTGGGCGTTACTTGTAGGCCCCGAGCTGTCCGCGCCATCTGCGTCCAGGGCCATGAAGTCGGCGGCTGGAGCGGCGCCGCCTTTGGTCTGGGGAATCCAAGAGCTCAGCTCAGCTAGGCTCTCTTCCAGCATATCGGCAGGAAAGCTAGGGTGGGCGAAGGCCTCCTCGAAAGCGCTTGTTCCCACACTTCGCTTCTCAGTTGCCGACACGTGGGGGCTGCGTAGCCGGCCCGTCAGCTGCATGTTCAAGGTATAATGTGGCGGGACCAAGCCATTTCCGCTGCTTGCAAGTCCAGCATCTTGTTTCGGTTTGACAATGGCCTGGATTGTAAAAGTTGGTTCCGGTGCATGGGGAAAGCCTGTAGGAGGCAGGAACTGTAGATTAGAAACAGGGCCTGGAAGATTGGCAGGCGTGGAGAGATAATTGGATTTGGCAACGTCCCACGTAGCAACCTTGCCGCTCGCATGGCCAGAGATTAATGTCGTGCCATCCCAGCTCAAACTCAGACTGAGGGCTGCGCCGAGCTTCTGCGAATCGGCACCGAAGCGGGTCTTCGGCGACGGTTGAATAGGACGGTGAGACAAAGCACTATCGCGGAGGACATTGACCGGGGTACTTTTCTGCACCTCGTCATAGAAATCAATTGTCTGCAAGCTACCGTCGGCATAGGCAACAAAGAATGCCCGGTCCGCAGGATCCAGGGTGACGGCAGTAGGCACCTCCGGGAGCAGGTATGTCCGCAGGGCCTGTCCGTTTTGGTAATCCCACACAATAGCAGACTTGTCCCCTGATATAGACACTGCAATATTGGCACTGCTGGAACTGTGCCCACAAGCGATGGCAGAGATGGGGCCGCGATGGGTAGACAGGGTGTGTACGGGCGAGCGCGAGGCGTCGGGCGAGAAAGAAAGTATCGAGGGCAGGGCCCAGACGTGGATCATGGCATCTGAGGAACCGGAGAGAAAAAAGGTCGACGACGGGTCGACGGCAATGCACGTCACTGGCTGGAGATGCGAAGTGGACGTGGAGACGAGGCGACCTGAGCAAACCTGAGAGACATGTTAGAGCCATACTTCCAATTGTGCTTTGCATGGGCGTGGCAACTGACCTCCCATGCCAATATCCGTCCGCTTTCCGTTCCCAGCAGCAGCACGCTATCTTGCGCCGCCAGCGCAATGCTATGGATCCTCTCTGGGAAGGGCACGAGGGCTTCCTGGTTGCCTTTTTCCCTGCTATACACATGGACGACGGCCTTCTCGGCTTGCGCAGCGAAAACATGTGTGGCGCTCACAGCAATGCCATTGGGCGCCGCGGTGCTTTTCTTGAAGACATGCCTCTGGGCGGCCAGCGGCTGGAATTCGTGGACGAAGATGCCGGCGTCTTTGAGGATTCCCGTGTTTGGCTTGGTCGAAGCCGATATGGCGGCGACAAAGTGTTCGGTGAGCATGGCCGAGGGGTGCGAATGATTGCGGTCGGTGGTCGCAGGTCTGAAAGTTCGGAGCTCTAGAAATTTTGGTGGAGCATCGTCCAGGGTCCGTGCAACTAGCCGCGGCATCGTTGGCCCTACGCCGAGAACGGCAATACATAACTCGACTCAACGCCTGATAGTGCTTCGTCATGAATTTAACAAACAGGTCACCTGTTTGGTTGCGATTCAGCTCACATCTTTGCGTGTCGGATGAACTTTGACCAAATCAACCATGAAAGGCGCGAAAAGCGCGTTACGTAGACCCCGCTTACTACACCACCACACCACCACCACTACCACCGAGGCATCTCGGTATAGCATCAAGTCCAACCTCTGTGCTCACTCCACTCATGGGCTGTAACTGTGGCCAAGCAGCGATACAGAACCAGCCGCCGCCAAGCGAGCCTGCTTGCCAATTGGAAAATGTCCCCACCATACGAGGGGTGCCTTGGTGGGGTTCCTTACCAGAGCGGCACGTCGACCTTGTCAAAACAAGCAGTAGATTGCCATGTGTAATCAAGCTCGCATGGCAAGCGGGTCCGAAGATTTGGCCACAAGACACATTCAAAACTCAATTTTGCATATTGGACCTGATATTCCGAGGCTCAAGGCCAGCGACCGAGGGATATGGCCAATCAGAGCATGCTTTTGCTTGATACTCGAGTCGACATCTTTGAAAGAACTGTGTAAGACAGTCGGCTTACCCGAAAAAGTGTTTGTGGGCGAATGGATCGTCGCCGACCTAGAGCAGCACGGAACTGCTGACTGCATTGCCAGCTCTCTTCTTGCCTGAACATGGTCTCATGCAATGGACGGCAGAGGCGCCTTTGATCAATCCAAAGACCAATCGGGAATAGTTTGCCCGGGATAGTCGCTTTTTCATTGGTACTCGTAGCTTAGAGGCTACCCATCAGCCCCGCGCGTCCTGGGAACGCATGTGCCTTGCCCACACTGGCCCATATAAAGCCATGCAAGTTTCGCATAGGAGCTGACCTTGGTTTGGACTATTGTTATTCAAACACTTGGCCCACCATGTCTGCCGAAGACTTTGCAAGCAAAGCATACGGTAAGTTGAAAAGCGATGCGCTTAAACTACCTCGTGCCTCGGTATCGAGGATGTGGTATTTTGCCCCTCATAGCCCAAAGGACGAAGAACATAGTTTGGCTATAGCTGCAACCACAAGATAATTATCATTCCAAGCATTCTTTGCTAATTATCTATCGATTTAGATTATGTTATCTGTGGCGGCGGAACGGCGGGTCTAACTCTCGCAGCCCGTCTTAGCGAAGACCAAGATGTCACCGTAGGCGTCCTGGAAGCCGGAGGCAATGGGCTCAACGACCTTGTAATCGATGCACCAAACATGTTCACGCAAACCTGGGGTAAGCCGCAGTATGACTGGGACTACAGGACAGTTCCGCAGGTACGTCTGTCTTGACCCGCATCAATCGGGCTGTGCCAACTCTTTTGTCAGAAAGGAACAGGAAATAGAGTTCACGCATGGATCCGTGGCAAGGTCCTCGGTGGAAGCAGTGCCGTAAACTTCAATATGTTCAGGTAACTACCCTATTTCTATCAGTATAACTCTATTACTCAGTTTCTTATTTAACTCTCACATAGCATGGCATCCAAACAGGATCTGGACAACTGGGGAGAGCTCGGAAACAAGGGCTGGTCCTTTGAAGACCTCAAGCCCTACTACCGCAAGTTCGAGACATACCATCCAGCGTCCGAAACCCTCTCGCAGCAAATCGACGACAAGTACCTTGACAAGTCGCTGCGCGGCACCTCTGGCCCCATCCAAGTCCGTGACTCGAAAACCTTCATTACTGCTCTACTAACAGTCATAGGTATCCTTTCCAGTAGGCGAAGCTAGCTGGAGCCAGGACATGTGGCCGAAAACAATGCTAAACGCAGGCTACCTACCTGCAAATGATCCTCGCACTGGCTCCGCCATCGGCGGCTTCAACCAGCTGAACACAATTGATCCCCGGCACAACCGGCGCAGCTACGCCGCAAGAGAGTACTACGAGCCCAACGCCTCGCGGCCAAACCTCTCCATCCTAACCAACGCACTCGTCTCCAAGATCGAGCTCGACAAGAGCACCGACGGCATCAAAGCCACGGGCGTCGAGTTCCGCGTCAACGGCACCACGCACACAGTCAAAGCTAACAAAGAAGTCCTCGTCTGCGGCGGCGTCGTCAATTCCCCACAGATGCTCGAGCTCTCGGGCATCGGATCCCCCGCCGTGCTGCAAAAAGCCGGTGTCGACGTCGTCGTCGAGCTCCCCGGCGTAGGCGAAAACCTATCTGACCACTCTGCCACCGCCATTGTCCTGGTAAGCCAGTCCTCGCTTCAATCCGCACCCAACAAGCCAATCAATTGACAATCGTCATCAGGGCGTCAAAGACGACTATCCCACGGCCGAAGTCCTCGCCCACAACCCAGACATAGCCCAACAAGCGCTAGAAGCCTACCTGCAGCACAAAGCCGGTCCCTTTGCCACATCGCCCACAACAACAGGTTTCGCGTCTCTCACAAAAGTCTCGCCTGAACTCTCCGATCCAGCCCCGCACATCGACGCCCTCATCTCCAGCTTCGCAGAGCAAAACCCCGGCTCCGATCCCGCGGGCCGCAACGCGCTGCTCGCCCGCCAGCTGCTCGACCCCAAGGAAGCCGTCTGCCAGCTCGTCTTCCTTCCCACGGGCGTAAACACATACCGTCCAGAGCACACGCCGACCATGTTTCCCTGCGAAGACGCAGGCATGTGGTGCACGCTGGGTGTGTGCAGCACGCGCTCGCTGTCGCGCGGGAGCACCCACATTACCAGCCGCGACCCAAGTGCGTATCCGGCCATCGACCCGGCGTACCTGACGCATCCGCTCGACGTCGACATGGTTGCCCGCTCGGTTCTATACGCTTTATCCCTCACGTCCGTGGAGCCTCTCGCTGCTATTTTCAAGCGAGATCAACACGGCGACTTTGTCGTGCCGCAGAAAGCGTCGGGCCCCATACCAAAGACGCTCGAGGAAGCAAAGGAGTGGACGAGACTGAATACAATCACCGAGTATCATCCCATGGGGTCGTGTGCCATGTTGCCGCGGGAGAAGGGCGGCGTTGTGGATGCCGAGTTGAGGGTGCATGGGGTGCGTGGGCTGCGCGTCGTGGATGCGAGTGTGTTTCCGCTGCATGTGCAGGGCAATATCGTGAGTCTTGTGTATGCGGTTGCCGAGAAGGTGGCGGATATGATTCGGGGGAGGAAAGCAGGCAGTTGAGCGAGTCCGATGAACTTCTTTCATTATTATGGAATGCGAACAAGTTTAGCACCTCCTTTTTTTTCCAATTGTGAAATCAAGATATATTTTACATGACTATGGAATTGAAACAGAAACTCACTCTCTTGACATGTTTTTTTTGTCCTTTCTTCCTTGGACTGACCCTTGGAATCTCCTACCTACTACCACTTGATACCCCTCTGGAAAACAGGCACCTCGTCGAAACTATCCACGCTCCACTTCAACTTGCCGTCTCGCGTGACCCACGCCCCCCGATCACTAGCCTCCAATCCCATCTTCTCATTCTGAGCAATCTCATCCTTGCTCACGCCAATGGCATCGCGCGCCAGCCAGATAACCGGAGTCTTGCTCGAGAAGGCCGGGTTGAGGTACGCTTTTTTCAAGTCTTTTTCGCTGTACTCTGGGTCTTGGTCGTCGAAATCGCCGTCGCGGACCCAGGCTTTCATCGCCGTGTGGCTGGCGAAGACGTGGGGTTGCAAGAAGCGGGCAAGGGGCGAGATGACGTCCGATGGTACATGCGTGCGCTCACTGATACGGTTGAGTCTCGACTGGGCGTGTTGCAGAGCGTCTGATTCGCCTTCTTCGGCCGATGACAGCAGGGGCGCTTGTTCATCGTCCTCGGATTCTGGAGCGAGGTCCGCAGGAAGGTACAGTTCGAGCGGCGCAAAGTAGCGGTTCGTCGTGTAGTTGAATACGGCAGTGGTGATGAGTAATACAACAAGCATGATCAGGGGGCCGGTTGCTTGGCGCAAGCTGAAGATGCCAATGAGACACAGCTCAGCAATGTAGATGCCGGTGAGAATGTGCTGGAGAGAAAGCGTGTAGCAGTGTCCTTTGGTGTCGATTTTTGGTTGCGCAGTATAGAGCAGCTGGTATCGATAGCTCCAGTAGAAAATGACGAGGCCAATGGCAGCGAAGCCAAGAACAAGAGGTGCAATGCAGGCATAAGCAATCGCTGGGACGAATCAGTGAAATACAGCGCAACAGAATCCAGTGAACATACCAATAATCACAAAGTTGACATACTTTGGAAACAACTTGCCCCAAGCCATGCCTCTCATGGTAGTATGAGTGTCGTATTTTTGGCGAGGAGTCTTGTCAAAGAAGCGGTCGTACAAAACAAAGAACAGAACATCAGTGTAGTTCAAGATGTTGCTTGGGGCATTTGTCAAGGCTTGGACAACAAAGTAGGTAAGGTACGTGTTGGATGCCCTAGGAAGACTCTGTGCAAGAAGCTGGGGTACCGAGCTTGGATCTGTTGCAATCTGCGACGCTACCGCAGCAGCTCCAGACGAGAGGGTAGTGATGAGGAAGATTTGAAGGACTTGAAAAACGTAGTACCATTTCAGTACCTTCAATTCAATCACCGGCTTCGTAGGGTCCCCGAATGTTGTGAAGATGTCTACAACTGTAAGCTTTGTTGACCGATGCTTCACACATGCACTTACATCTGAATATATCTGGCACCCATCGAGCCAGGGCGCTCAGCAGCAGCGGAGGAATCAGACCACTTAAGAGGCTCATGATTGATGGTGGAAGTTTGTTGAGAAACGCAAGCCACTCAAAATTTTCCGCGAGATACTGAACATTGGAGAAGGCACCAACAATCGATACAGGGATAGACCAGAAAATAATGGTTGCAATCACCAGCGACAGCGCCACGCCGCTTTGCGATATGCGGCGTGCAGGCGGCAGAACCAGATTTTCCCAAACGACCTCGCTCGGCACAGTCCCTACAAACCGAGGCGTGAGAGAAAGTATGTCGGCGGAGGCGATTTGTTGATACGCGCGTTGTGCTGCAGGCTGGGTGCGAAACTCGACAAACACCGCCGCAGCTCCACCAAGACTCTGAGCAGTCTCGTTTGACTCGCGCGCTTTCTCAATTTCATCCTCTTTCTCCTTGATCTGGTCCCGGTAGTAGCTGATGCTGTCGACTTGCTTGCCAACAATTGGAGTGTTCGACTTGTGTGTAGGCCGCAGGGACTTCTTCATCTGCTTAGGTAGCTGTTCGTATTTGATGCTGCTGTTATGGCTCTTCCTGACCTCCTTGTTGATGTTGAGGATGAGCGACATCTCTACGCTCTCCAGTTTCTTAACCTTTGAATCCCTTTCCGAGACCAGAGATACAAGCTTATCACCCCTTGTGACGGGCCAGATGCGGACTGCATCTTCGCCAAAGAATCGCTGCATGTTGTTTTCATCCAGTGCTGCCGTGGGTGCTGAAAGGTAGAGAACGGTGCGTGACGACAGCCTCTTCGCATTCGCCTTGGACAGGTTCCAGGCCTGTCGCAGTCCAATGAGCCACAGGCGCTCGCGCGCAACAGTAAACATGACGAAGCTGAAGAAAACCCAAGCGACGACAGCATGAGCATACAGGTGGTCCTTGTCCTTCACATTGCCAATACCAAGGCGATTCAACTCCTTCGACCTGCCACCACCCATCCAGTTGGCCGGCAAGAGAATCGGCCAGGTAATGACACATCCAACGACGCAAATGAATATCAGCGTCCTCAGAAACCGGAGAAACAGGTACGAATCGAGCGATTGATGGTACAGCATAAACTTATCCGGGACACTCCTCATGGTCCGGATCCAGTCAAAGTATCCCGGTGACGTCGGACATGGTGTACGATGTTTTTCTTCCACGGTGCCCATGAACGTCCGTGGAGAATAGATCTTGGGAAAGCGGTGCCGGATCAAGACAAAGATTGCCATGTAGAGAGTTGCAATGACAGCTGTAGGCACAAAAGCCGCGGCGAGCGATGCGAAAGAGGATGGGCCGCTCGACTGAGCATGGCTGCTCAAGCCGTCTTTGGTGCCAAACACCGTCTGGAACTCCATCGCGGCCTATGTCAAAGAGCAGGAAGAGCAGGAAGATCAGCAATATCCCATAGTCGGGGCCGATTCGAACACGGATATCAGCGGGGTCGGTGGTGAATCCGTTCAATCTCGACGTTGCAAGGTAAGTGCGTGGGCTAGTGTTGTGGCTGGGGGGAAAGGGGAGGGGGGCGAGGGTGAGGGTGAGGATAGTCAGGGATACTTAGTCAACAATGACGTAGACGCGTGTATCGATTAAGCGGAGGCGGGCGGAGGCGGGCGTCTTGGAAACCGCCACGGCACGGCACCCACACCAGTTCACCTGCCAACGCCAACGCCAAACCAAGCATCCAAACTAATAATAGAATCAGACACGTCCAATAGCGCCATGGCTGTACCACTCAAATGCGGTAATATGTGAAACATGAACAGGAGGGCTTCACCAGCTCACGCCGTAGGTACAAATCTACATATATCGATACTACAAGAGAAGGTAGGTTGGTAGGCTGAACAATGGCATTTACTTATGCAAAAATGCAGTAGTCTCTCTTGATGATATCTATAGTTACAACCCGCATTTTTGTAGTGAGCTAATAGTAGTAAGTAGCAAGTAGTAGTACCTAAGGTGCTGTGTAGTGCTGTGTGGTGTGGTGTGGTATCGCAACATGTAACCGCTTATTGTCCCCCCCCCCCCCAAAAAAAAGTAGTAGCTGCCCATTATTCAAAAAAGAGAGAGATGACAAAGAAAAGAAAGAAAAAAAAAGGGAACGCCGTATGCAAGGAAAGAAAACCAAGAGGCAAAGGAATATATGTACCAAAAGGAAAAGGAGATTTTCTAACGCCAAAAAATGCAACAATGATGAAAATGCACAGCCGAGCTTGCCTAGAGCCACAGCAGCCACCGAACCACACTCCAGCCGACGCCAAAGACGCGCTTGACAGATCCAACAAGGACGACCGTGAGCCACAAGCACCACATAAGGCCGACAAGCGCCCACTCGACGAGCATCCAGCCGAAGCCTCCCATCCATTTCATCCTGCGCTTGCGCGCCCGGATCATGCCGTCAATCTCGTCTGTAATCTGCTTGACTTGGAGTGATCCTTGACCGGATACCTCGCTGGTAACACGCACAGCTTTGTCGCCGGCTTCGAGGATGCGAGGCATAAGGTCAGAGTCGACGGTAGACTGCAACAAGGATACTTGGCTCGACAGCTGCTGGATAGCCTTGTTACGGAAGCCTTCGAGCGCAGACTGCAGGGCTTTGGTTGAAGCCTCGAGGTCTTTGACCAAGATGCGTGCGGCTAGAACATGCTCTTGCTTGCGCGGAACGGGGTACAGTTTTGTTTTTGTCAAGGCAGCGGCGCGAGCGAGGAATTCAGAAGGTGGGTCTCGCGAAGCCTGGGACCGCCGAACAATCTCCTTGGCCTTGACACCTGAGCAGACGAATAACGCACGTACACGCGCAATATCTGCTTGCGTGATAACGTCCGCCTTGTTCTTGCGGTCGTGGTCATCTTTGTCGGTGATACTCCAGTGTCTTCCGCTCAGCCCTGGCCTCGAGCTACTGCGCTGCCTGCTCGATAACTGTGAATTTCTCAGTCCAGTAGGGGGCAATCCTCCCGCAATTACACCAGGGTGAGCCAGCGCCTTGTTGATGATTTCTCGATCCTGCGTGGGCACAAGACTGAGAGAGACTTGCGAGGAATTGTTAGATATGGCACTCAAATCCATACGAGGAGGCAGCAGCCGATCGATGCGGGGAGAGCGGCTGCCCTTGCGTTCTCGAGCCTGGCGCGAGATGTGATGCTCATTGCCCGAACCCTTGTCTTCACTGGCGTGGACGGGACGGAAAGAAGGCAGGTCGAGATAACTCCGTTCATCGTTAAAAGAAGTTCTACTGCCCGACGTGATTGTACGCTTCATCGCCTTTCGTTTGCCGTGCTTGGCTCGGGTAGAATCATTATCGTCGTCGAATTCTACAGAGTTGTCGGACATGGTGTCGGAATCGGAGTCGTCCGCTCGGTCTCGTCGAAAGATGATGTCACCGACCTTGGTACCCTCATTCCTCACGCCCTTGAAGAAGCGTGTAACAGCAGACTGGGGCTCCTGTGTCTCTTTCCGGCGCGTTTTGTCCGGGCTAGCCAAGCTACTAACGCTATCATTCTTGCGATGGCCCAAAAGGTTCCTGACAGCACCGGGTGCCGCCAGGATTGCCGAGCCAATGTTCTTCTCGTCCGACGTGTCTCCACTTGCTTGGTTGGATTTTCCCTTTCGATCTGTACCGGAAGAATCAGGGCGCCACTCGTGCTGGCTGTCTTCACTATGGTCGTGCGAATGGAAGATTTGGTTGAACTTGTGCCGCTTGGGCTTCCTCGTCTGCGAGCTGGATCGACTTTGGGGTGGTGAAAATTCGGTGCTAATGCGCGGAAATGGTTTGGTATTGGGGGTATTTGGGCCTGTGCTGTCGAGGTTTTCATATGACGATCGGGGGTCAGCATCATCAGCGGATAAGCTAATAGTTTTCCGTGGCTTCTGGGGAAGCTTAAACGTGCCGTGGTCTTTGACATATGCGAAACCATTTGTGAGCTGCGGAACATCCAGTGAGTCTCGAGCAGGCTTGTCGTCAAAGGCAATATCTCCGTTGCGCCCCCATTTGTCGGGCGTGTTGGGCGAGGCGGCTGGTGATTTGACCTGCGACTGTTTGGCCTGTTGCTCCAGTAGCAGAGCAAGCGGCCCGGTGTTTTGCTCAGGGTCTGTAGCGACGCGAGTCTTGCGCCTCTTGGTGTCAGATTCTGATCCAGATGTGTCAACGTCATCATGGGTGCGTAGTCTTGAGCCTCTTCTAGAGTGCTTCCTAGCCTTGGGGCTATCCGGGCGGAGCGTTGGAAGCAGCCTTCGCTTGCGTCCACGTTCACTTCCTCTATCGCTCTCATCGCCTGTTGTAGGATCCAGAGCGATGCCAGGCAGCCCGTCTCCCCAGCTCTTCCTTCGCTTGTCGGGGTAGTCTTTGCTGGTACGCGTTTGGGTCGAGTTCCTCGGTTGCGCTTCTTTGGGTGGAAATACCGGTTGCCCAAACCGGTTTTCGAGAAGTCTCTTGTTGTCGCCCTGTTCCAGCCAGTGGGCATCTGCAAGCAACTCTTGCGGGGTAAAGAACCAGCCCTTGTATGCTCTTGCAGGTTTACTGGATGGCGTGTCTACCTCATGGTCGTTGTGAAATTTGGGCAGCTGCACTGCATCGTCTCGACGGTAGCCGGCATATTTGGCATGCTCTTGGACACGGTCCACCCAATCACGCACCTCTTCCACGTCCTCGAACTCTTCTGGAGGGTGCTCGAGCACCACGCGCTCGCGAGCTCTGGTACGGCGATTGCGGAGATACTGTAGAGGGTTGTAGGGCCTGCCTAGATCGTGCTGTTTGCCCGCATACGACGGCACGCGGGTGAGGTGCGCTTGCGGGCTGCCTGGCATGTTGCTGGATGATACGATGAAGTTGCCCGGAGCACTAGCGTCGGGCTTCAAGGGCGGGACGAATTCCAGGAGACGCAGATATTCCATGCGGAGCTCGATGTAGGCGCGAGCCTTGTTGACCCGTGCCAGCGTGGATGCAGAGGGATTGATGGTCTGAGAGCCTGGGAACGCAACGGAGCCACTCCTCTGCATGGAATTGGAAATATGCTGCGACGGCGAGTTGCTGCTGCCGCCCATGGGGGACATGTTGCGCGAGGCCCGGCGCTGCTCATTGAGATACTGTTTCAGGCTGCCGCCAGCGCCGTAGTTGGCGAAGCTGCCTTCGCGCTGCGAGCCAGATGCCACGCGGGGCTGGGATGCGAGGAGCTGGCCGGTACTCATGTGTCTTCGCCGGCTCTCGCTGAGGTTCAGCGCCATGTGCACCAGCTGGTTTGGATCAATGGCCTGCCGCGGCGGCGGTTGCGTCCTCGGCAAACCGTCTCTGTCGCGGGGAGCAGACTGCATGTCGTGCGCACTCGTCCTGGCCCTGTCGACGTGGAGGCCATTACTGTTCTGCTCTTGCGGAGGGGCAAAGTCAATGCGAGATGCGCCTGGCGCGGGGCCGCGTTCGTCTCTCTGCCCCTCGTCGGCCACGGGCGCGTTGGCGGGAGACAGCCGCGCCCGGTGGCTGCGCTCATTCCTGCCGCTCCTCTCCTGTGTGCCGTGGTGTCGCGGGCTGCGCTTGCCCTTGGCGTCGTCGGCATAGCGCTGTCGTGGGCCGCTGGGGAAGGTCGAGTCGAGCAGGAAGCCGCCCGACCGCCGGGCGCGTTGCTTGCGGGGAGCAAAGTCGTCGGCGGCGGTGGGTGGCTCTACAGCCATGGGGGCGTCAGCGTCTGCGCTGGCTATGCCGTTGGCTGCACCGGTGGCGGGCCGTGAGTCTTGACTGCGGCGCGGGTAAGAGGCTCTGTCGCCATTGTCATTGTCCGTGTATGTTCCCGAGCTCCTGGCAATGTACGTGTTGGACGAGGCAGTCCAGCGGTCCGAGTCTCCGGAGGGACGCTCGCTGGCGGACAGGACCGACATGTCGTGGGGATGCGGCGTCGTCACCTGAGGCGGCCAGGGGGTTGCATGGCGATGACGATGGCTGCGCGGCGCAGAGGGGCGTGGGCGTGGGCCTGTACGTGTGCGCAGCAGAGGCAGAGGCGGAGGCGGAGGCGGAGGCAGAGCAGATGGCGCGGCGATGAAGTCACATGTGGGGTGGTGGTTTGCAGCGACTTAATACATACTTACTGGCACTGGCATCTGGTAGCCCGAGGCGTTGAGTCGCAGCCTGGAGATTGACAAGTTGCATGGCTTGCTACCACTACCCCTGTCGTTGAAGCCCCCTCATCGTCCAAAGCCAACGAGGGGTCCGTGGGCACGTCTATCACGCAACTGCGCAGTTCAACCTTGGAGGATAAATATTCCTGGTGGAGCTGCGCCCGGTCCGATGCCTGTCTTGTCGCGCCTTGCCACCGTGGGCGCTTTGTTACCATACGCCGACGGCCGGCGGCCAATGGCAAGCGCCCAGCCCGCTGACGAATGCGCTTGTCTGGCACGCGCGCCGCCTCTGATTGGTGTCACAAACCGGCAGCCCCTTTGTGTGGCTGATGCCCCTGTCGGTGCCGCCTCCACCTTGAATCCTTATCCTCCCCAACCATGTCTATCAATTCCCCTGCCCTTCCGTTATTTCCCCCCATTTCTGCTGCGAATATACTGCTTGTCTTGTATTTTCCGCACAATCTCCCGCTCCACCGTCTTCATTCTTCGTTCCTTGCCATGCTGCTCGCAGGCCGATGGACTGGCATTGACTGAGCCTCTGGTAGCACACTCGCTGTCTACCCATCCCGCATGGAGCCTGTAACGGCTTTGTGCTTCGTTTGCAGCGTCGAGCAGTCGCGGTGTCGACAAAATATCCCGCGGCATTCAACGTCACCTATCCCGCTTGCAGTTAAAACCTGCATAGGTTATTGGCACCCGCCAAGGGTTCAATCTAAAATGATGACGCGTCAAATCGAACAATACCTTACAGCAGCTTTGCAGCGCACAGTGAGCAGACGACACATGACCAAGGTGTAGGTGCCTGGGGAGCATGGTGCACTCGAGTCCTCCCGCTCGCTCTTATAAGAGCACATTGTATCTGCCGCCGCCATGTGCAACGCTTCGTCATCCGATCCCCACGTCCTTGTCCCCACAGAGACGCATATTCTCCGCAACCGCCCTCTTCAAGAGCATACTACTAAGCACACTATGCCACAACATGACACACTGGCCGCTCGCGTCTTGGACTGACGCCTTTGCCTGGTAGATACAACATGGCATCACAGCAGCGACAGCCGTGTGAGTCTGACGGCCACACCTAGCCATGACATGCATGTCTGTATGACCAACTTAGCTTCCTAGACGCCCATGCTGCTGTCACAACGGCAGTCGATTACAGGCACCCTATATATGTAAGAAGACGCCCACGCCCCTGTCGCTCTGGTCTTGGAGACAGACTACAGCGGACACATGCTTCCGCGTTATGAGACGGCACCAAGTCTCCATTAGCGGCACTCAGCACTCGCGGTTGGTAGCTGGGGCCTCCCAATGAACTCTGGTCTCTGGACCTCACTCTGTCCAGTAAGCTCCGCCCGTCCAAGACAGCCTGCCGCACCCTCAGCTCAACTCTCTAGAGAGGACAGTCTGTCACACGACGTCCCGGCAGCCAAGTTGATCGCCATGGTGCACACCACACACACACATGGCATGGTGGGGCCATTCTCGCATTCATGGCGTGAGGCTGAGCAAAAGTACCGTCATCCAGTTGAGCGGGCAACCAAAGCCAAACATGGCCGTGGCATCCCTCGTTAGCCTCGGGCGGCACCACAGACGAAACGTACCTGTCTGACCGATGATTCCAGCACCCAACCTCATGACGAGACACGCACACCGAAGAGCGCCAAGCCCAAGTTGCAAGTCGATGGCGGGCACCACACTGCTGCTTGGATCGCTGCCTTTACCGGTGTCGAGGGGAATTGTCCACACGTGAAACGCCGACCCAGCCCCGTGCAGGCTAGAAGCTTACGAATCGATAAGCGTTTTCTCGCGCCTTTGGCTTGGGCAGGGCGTGTGGACCATCGGCGGGGAAGGCTGACATGTAGCGAGCTGAGTCTGTCAGGGTCACATTACCAAAGCGTCGTGGCAGAGTCAGGCAATGTTTGTGGCCACGTTGTGATGGAGAGGCCCAGGGCTTTTTGGGGGTACTGTATGTGTGTGTAGTAGTGACATGTCGAAAAAAACACGATTGACTAATATCTCGCGATCAGCGCTCTGACGGGGGGGGGCTTGCTGGGGACCACATCCTTGGTAGGCGGGCTCTGGGTCCAGACGGGGAATAAGGTTTGGTGGCAGGTGGACGTCAGCCTCGGATCAACTGGGCAGCCGGTGTCTTACGCCAAAGGCCCATATTCCGGAAACCGACCAGAGGCAGGCGAGTCATCGTGTGCAAGGCGGGCGAGGGAGCACCACTGTGCTAGCACAAGACGGCCAGCCTTGTCCTTTGCACATGGACATAGCGCTCCACGACCAAAGTTTCCTGGGATAAGCTGAGCGTGGGGTGTCGACAGAGGAGCGCCGCCCACGGCAAGCAGCCGGCGAAAGGGCTGCGCAAGCTTGGGGGTTTGCCGGGACGTGGTGCATGACGAGTGCAGGCCATTGCTTTCCAGCTGGGCTTGAGGCTTGGGGATGCACACGCAGCTGGGTTTGTGGATCGGCGAGTGTGCGTAAAACAAAAGTACAGTAAGAGAGTCCCCTGGCCGCTTATTCGCCCTCGACCCTGGCTCCGCTTAGGCTGGTAGAAAGGCGGACTATTCCGTTGCTTGGACCGCGACGAGGCTGGACGAGGAGGATGGCATGGCGTGCCAAAAAAACAGCGACACCACACCAGCTGATGCTGTGTGCGGCGCTCTGTCGCGCTGTCGCTGTCGCTGTCGCGCTGCCTCGCTCTCTCTTGCGCCTCTCTCTCTCTCCGTCTCTTCTTCTCTTCCTCTCTTCCTCTCTCTCTCTCTCTCGCGCGCGCGCATCGGGGGCGGGGGCGGGCGGATGCGATGGGCCTCGTCACGTCCGGAGCCTGGCTTGTGAAATTTGCTCATGGGCCAGCAGGGCCAAATGGGGAAAAGCATGACCACGGCAGCTTGCCTTGACCTAGTAATCCCGCAGGCCATTGCTATTACCCATCGTTTTGCGGTTCGTCGCGTTGCCGGGATGATCCGAGCAAGGTTTTGGACGGAAGCCCTCATTTCTTTTTCCTCGTCTCGGCCTAGACACCGGTCGAGCTGTACGCTGCAGCATGCGTTGATTCGCCCTGAACCAAGGCGTGTCGTTCAACCTGAAGCTCATGCCCAATAGGCGGCCAGCTCGCCAGCTTGCCGCTTATGGCGTGGCTTGCAGCTCAAGGTTCACCCACTCATGATGGGAAACGAGGCTGACTGCGCCATTCCAGCCTTGTGCGCGCGCACGCCGCTGGGCCCAGCAAAAATCGGGATATCTTGTTGCCTGCCCCCCCCCCCCGCGCTGTCCAAGACTGACTTGGAGCACGTCGCAAGCAACCCCAGCTGTTCCCTTGCCTCTGTCTAATCCCGCCGGATTTAGCTGCCGTTAGAGTTGCGGCCCTCCGCCCCACCACCACCGACGATTCCAGCCCAGCTGCGACTCCGTTGTTCACTTCGGGACGGAACAGGACGCTTCCGCAGTCTCTCCGTCGTCGTGCTCCCCGACTACACCGTCCTCCACCAAGTACATGCCTCCCGCAAGATCCAGGGCCAGGATGAAAGCAGGAGCGCCCACAAAGACCCCGACGACTACATCCATCAAGGCTAGCGACCCAGTAGAGCCGCCGTCAGCACCAAGAGAAACCGTCGTGACCGCTCCAGCCGTCGACACTACTCCCAACACCTCGCCCGCAATCGGCGCAGGCTCCAAGACGCCATCTCGCAAGGTGCTACGCCTCAAATGCCCCGTCTGCTCGGACTATCCCGACGGCTTCCGCAGCGAGCATGAGCTCCGGCGGCATACCAACCGCGTCCACAAAAAGGCGCGCAAGGTCTGGGTCACCATTGACACTTCGCCCGACAAGTCGTTTCTGGCAAACTGCAAAGCATGCCAGACCGGCAAGAGGTACAACGAATGCTACAATGCCGCCAGCCACCTCCGGCGCATGCACTTCCACCCACACAAACGCGGCGAGAGGAAGATGACGGCCGCCGAAGCTCGACGCGGCGGAAAGCCGGGCGACCTGGACCCCCCCATGGACGTGCTCAAGGCAAACTGGCTGCGAGAGGTCGACGAGATTCTGGACGACGAAAATGACCCGGCCGAAGAGGATGCGCGAAACACGTCTGTATCTCCGCCTCAGATGGTGTCGCCGCAGGCCCAGCAGCAGCCTGCCCCCAACCACAACCACAACAACAACAACAAGTCGGATGCAAAGGCTCCCCCGACGCCCACTACGCCATCCACGCGGTCCATGGCCATAGACAGCATCGTCGACAAGGTGGATGCATTCTGAGCCCAAGGTGCTTGCTGGGCGGGGGCCCCGACAGCAGCAGCAGCCGCCAGAGAAGAAGAAGAAGGGCTGCGACAGTGGCTTTGGGCTCACTGGAAATACAAATACTGGGCATTGCTCCATGGATGGCGTCTTGTCGCAAGACGTTTCTTGGCAGATGCAGGAGTAGCCATGCCAGTCGAACCGGGGCCGCAACCATGCAGGATGGATCGGATTGCACGACGGGGCCCGCCAATCGCCTCAAGTTGGACATGGCATGCTGCGTCTTTTGTCGGGTTAGTATACGGTTCGCTCCACGGCGAAAAGTGTTGCTGGGTGGTGTTCGGGGCGTTGGGGCGTTGGGAAAGACTCCAGATGACGTGCCGGGGCGGACACGGCCTCTCAGTCGAGGCGTCCGACGGCGTTTGTAATTGTAGCCTGGGGCCGCAAGTTTGGGCCATTCAGGAGCCACGTCTAAATCCAAATATACTGCTCTTTACCCAAGTTTGCGTGATGCACGGCCGCAGCAGTGAGCGATGGCGGCGGAGACCAGGCGGCGAGAGGAGGGGTTGCGCGCGCGCGAGATTGGCACCATGGGCCGGTGGTGAGGGCCCGCGAAAAAGAAAAGCGCAGCGGGCTCGTCGAGACAGGCGGCCGGTGATGTGAAGTGCAATTAAGATATATGTCGATCAACGAAGGGGTAGTGGCAGATCGGTACTCCTGTCCTGCCAAATGAGGCTCGTGCGCAGCAAATTGTCTGCTGCATCGTGAATCCTTCCCAAGCCACGCCACGCTTCCCGCCGCAACCACTGCATCCACCCTACCACTACCCTCCATGTATGCCTCTGACGTGTCGGTCCGGAGCAGGCACAGGCACAGGCACAAGCGTCTTTGGAGCCCCTCGCCGCAATATCGCATGCAGCGGAGCTATTCACTGCCTCGCCTAGCTGCATCCGCTGCTGGTGGGTGGTGACGACACGGCCGGCTATGATGCGCTTTTTCGCTTCTGCATAGCCCCAAGTCACTTACTTACCCACCACGCAGCATCGCCGTTCTGCAATGGTCGCATCGCCTGCCACGCATCCACACACGACGAGCCGCTGCGCCTGTGATCGACACTGTAGAAACACAAGGTAGGCCGAGGCAGCGCATGCAGCCAGGCCATGTCCTTCCGCCGAGCAAGCAGAAACTTTGTCAACCTGGGCAGGCTGTACAGCATCCCGCCATGGGGCACTGTGCCGCCATACGGCCTGGCCCGGCCACCCACCAACAACTCTGTCAACCTGGGCAATCTCTACGCGCGCAGCCAGCCCAAGTATCCTCCGGGCTGGGCCTACTTTGACGATGGCTCCGTCTTCATCCTGCCCTTTGGGTGGTGCCCCCATGATGCTTTGGAGGCGCGCATGAAGATTGCCGCGCACTTTGTCGCTGACCCTACGCCCAAGATGCAGCAGATGCGGGCCGCGAAGCCACTCATGAAGCGCCTCATCATCATCAAGTAAGTTGGCCGCGTCTTGCAATGCCATGCCATGGAGTGCGCTAACTCGACCCTCAGCAAGGACGGCAGCAACTCAGGCCAAAACCCGCTTCGCATCCTCGCCCGCAATGTCCAAGACGGACAGCGAGTGTCCGTGGTAGATCCGCCCTTTGAGAGCGTTGAATTAGCCCTTGGCCCCTCCGGAAGCCGCCCAGTGTCCACTCGCTTCAGCGACGCTCCCCAGTTGAAGTACCAGCATCGCGTGCAGATCGCCGAAGCATTGCAGACTTTTCGCGGCACGCTTATCGACGGCACTCTACAGCCCAATGTGCGCCTGGGAAACGGCCTGCGCCTGTCACCCAATCCTGAGATACGAAAACCTCAAGGGGCAGAGAAGAGGCGCGCGCGCGACCGCGAGGCCAACGAACTCCGCGGAAGCACGCACCCGCCTTCAAAAGCCCCTGCGAAGCGCCTGCATCAGTCAGACGTGCCGATTCCAAGAGAGCATACACAATCTGCGCCCCTAGACAAATATACGCCGCCTCCGCCAAAGCATTCGCCACACGACAATATTGAGCATCGAGATGCCCAGATAGCCCAGAGAGAACGGGAGCTTATACAAATGCAGCAACAGCTATCGGCCCAGACTGTGCTTGTACAAAACAGTGCATTGCACCGGGAACAAGTTGAGCGCGAATACGCACAACTGGTACACGAACCGACCGGCATGCCCGCCGGTTCTGTATCCGATGCAAGGATTCGAGAAGCCAGGGCGCGAGAGCGGTCACGTGAAACAAAGGCGGTGCTTTTACGGTACATTAAACAAAAGGTGGAGCTGTCAGAGTTCAAGACCAAGGTTTCGATTCTAGAACAACAGCTCGCAGAACAAAAGCTCGCACAGGCTACTGCACACACTCCGCCTCATCATAGGTTTCGCCAGCCCGAGACAGAGGTTCAGGGACACGATGAGAATATCCATGACGAGACTGGAGCACATCATGATGGCTCGAGTGCTGAACAGCTTCGTGACTACAGTCTTGATAACATGCCGCCGCCACAGGCCCTGAAGAATCTGAGATCCCGCATCCAATTACCTACGAGGGAAACAATGCGCTCAAACGGAGAACCCAAGCAACAATAATAATTATTTGTTGGTTCCAACGTTTCATGCGCATCACGAATAGACAATCATCTCCACGCCTTCCGTGCGTTCGCAAGCACGCTCTACAGGTGCCGTTACATCCAGTTTGTGGAGCCTGTTCTGAAAAGCAAGCCAACCCATCCACGCCCAACCATCCCCATCCAAATTTGCGGGCTTTTCGTTGGAAACGATTCGCAGAAGCTGTTACATGCTTCAACGCCAGCCAACAAACTGTAATATTACTGTACCATATCACAACTCACACACGATACCTTTGCATACGTAGTAACAATAGAACCAATACCAATCTATACACTCGCATTTCCCTACAACTCACACTCTACCAGCGCCTTGCCACGTCCCCAACCCACGCATCTCGCATTCACGCTCGTCCCGCCGATCCACAGACACAGTCAACCCTGCACTGCAACACCACATACCCACACACCGCAAAGCGCACGCATCTCGTATAACCAACAAAAGACCAGACCAAACTCTCCAACAAAACAAAGCAAGCCATGTCCCCAAATAGAGCCACATGTTTCTTTCTTACACATGTTGCACCCTGCAGACTGAGCTTACATTTCCCGTCCTTGTCCCCGCCCACCTCGTTTCAACTATGCTTGGAAACGCACCCCGCAAAATGCCAGGAGGGGGGGTTGCGTACTGTTAGATTGGCTAATTAAATCTTCGCTGTCTGCACGCATGTTGATTCAGATAACGGATAATACAGCCCGCTTACACGGATACTGGGGTATGGACTTACATACTGCGTATATCGATATATGTAGCTATGTTTTTCAGTTCATACAGCTTATCCAGAAAGGATGATGGCCATGCAATAAAACTCGCAGTACAATCCCAGCAAAGAGATATCATGTTCATCACACAAGAAGTCGCTGATGCTGATGCTGATGCTGATGCTGATGCTGATGCTGATGCTTGTTGCTACATAGTGCCCACAGGGACAACAGATACCGCATACCAACTATGTACCAAAGTACCCAACTAGACCCCCCGGCACTAGAAACAAAAATCGCATATCTTACTCCATGTGCAAAAAAAAACTTCTTCCTGGATATCAGGCGTGCGTTGCATGTGGCGATAGGTATATACCTTTTGTACACGCTGTAGACAAATAACTATATATATACACATATATACACACATATATATATATATACAAAGACAGCAAGAATTATACGCACACCAGAAAAGAGAGAGAGAGAGAGAGCGCGCGAGAAAAATTCAAATGCAAGACTCTAAGAGACTACCGCGGTTTCGATATATTCCAAGACATGGCGAGACAGACGGGGGGAGAGAAAAAAACAATACAGATTGGGTGTGGTGGAGCGGAAATACGGAAATGCGGGAGAGAGACACTTTTTGGGTGTTGTTACTTATCACCCGAGATGAATATTCTAGTCATCGGGTAAAATTTGGAATGAGGGAATAAGGGGGTGTTGGGGAGATATCTATATGTATGTATGTATGTATGTATGTATGTATGTATGTATGTAACTATGTATGTATGTATGTATGTTTACGGATGAATGGATGGATGGATGGATGGATGGATATAGATAGATAGATAGATAAACCCCATGTTTGCGATCAATGAGTAGATACAACACGATACGATATGATATGACATACTATGCAAGGAAGCGCGTTGCTTAACCTTTGTATTTCGCATTTCAACATTTTGACTATTTCGCAGGTTTAGTACGTATGCCTAACCCAACCCACGTCTGTTCTTTTTCTTTTTTTTTCCAACCCTAATTTCTTGATTCATTGGCGCAGATACCTAGCTATCTATATCACTGTGCGCGCGCGCATGTGTAGGTGTGTGTGTATCTGTATAAGTCTCTACGTACATACGTACGTGCCTACATCCATCCACATTGTGCTTTGCCAAGTTCTTCTTCTACGTATATGACGATACACACACACACATACACCGCACGACACAACACAACACAACCAATCAAGTAACCAGTAAGCAAAGCAAGGGTAGACCCCAACACTCAGACCACGCTTTTTCAAACTGTGGCGTGCGGGTGGCTGGCTCGAGTACTTTTGTTTGCAGCGCACGTACATTTACGCACGCACATATATATTACGCACGTCCATACGTTAATCTTAGATCTTAATCTTCCTTTTTTTCTTTTTTTTACTTAGCTTAGTTACTTATTTCCACATGTATCGTCTAGGATCTTTTGCATCTCTAGATCTGCGATCGAGATCTATGATCTGTCATCTGTCATCTGTGATCTGTGTCGTGTCGTCACATGTGCGTGTGCACTAAACTATGTAGCTAGCCAGCCTGCTCAGTTGCTACTTAGCGGGTTGTGCAAAAATCGAACTGTGTCTTCAAATTTTTGTTGTTGTTATGAATTTTATTCCTGTCTACGTTCATTTCGGGGTTGTTATTATTATTCTTGTTTACTACTGTTATTTTCTTTTCTGACTAGCTCGTTCGTATCAAGTCAACATTTTGATGCGTATCTGGCATGGGTATCTTCTAGAACGCTAAAGGAAGAGGGAACATGTTTCTCTTTTACTACCGCTTGGTAGCCAGTGCGCTGCGGCACAGGTGTTGTTGTGATTGTTGTTGTGATTGTTGTTGTTGTTGTTGTTGTTGCTGTTTGGGGGCAAAAACAAAAACAGAAAAAAAAGGGAGAAACAAATTGAACGGAAAAGAGAAATGAAAGGGGTGGTAAAGGAAAGTTAAAAAGAGAGAGAAAACAGACAGAAAAGAAAAAAGGAGGTCGGGAGCGAGATGCCAGTGAATAGGGTTCGCGCCAGCGTGTCACTGTAACGCTTGAAGCGCCGGTCTAACGCCTACTTTTTTTTTGTTGGTGTACAATGACCGTTATTTTTTTTTTACATTTCGTATTAGAGAGTCGCTATGTGTTAAGACCATAAGACCCGTTCCACTCTTTTAGTTGTGGTGACTCTGCATCAAAGTCTCTGTCCTCTGCAGTTTCCACTTGTACACTTGTTTCGGTGATGATGTTGATTCCATTTGGTTGTGATGTTTTGATGATCGAGTCTTGTGATCCTGCTCGTGTCGCGCTTTCTTCGTCATAAAGCATGTCGTCGTGTCGTGATCGCGTACCGTAACTGCGTGAGCGGTGGTGGTCGCCCATGCGCGACATCCTTTGGGCACCACCGGTGATTGTAATGGTGTGCGCTCCAGCACCGGAATCTTTGACGTTCATGGTCTGGAGGCCGTAATTCTGGCCATCGCCTGGGCGCGCGGGGTTGGTAAGCGTTCGTGTGATTGATCTGTTATAATAGTGCCCGGTGCCCATATCTCCAGACACCAGCACGCGTCTTGTAAGAGTGTAGAGGAGTGCGTCAATCCAGCCGCACGATGTGAGAAGGCTGCCAGATATAACGAAGAAGATATCTGGAAAGGATTCGTCGTTCATGGCGGTCATGCGCCCTACGGCAATGGGTAGGGTCAGGACCATGTAGACAGCAGGGTACATGACCATGAACTTTGTTGCACGTGAAAGCTTGCTGGTGTCGTTTGCGATGATACTTCGGATGCGACCGCGTAGGTGGAAAAATATGTGCGCGTAGATGATCATGGTTCCAAATTCGACAATGAAAATCCAGAAGTAGTGTAGCCAGAGGCGTTCTCTCTGATACGAGTGCGACACCCAGCACTGCCGCAAGTTAGTTTTGCCCTCGATACGTCGCCAAGACCAGATGCGCAACTTACCCAGCCTGAGGCACGACCAAAGTAGTGGGTGCCATGCATTGCCGGCCCCAGTATCGTGAGCAATAGCGCAAAGGACCAAATGGCCAAAATTGACACAACAAACCACTTGTACGGCATTTTGTATCCCTTGACCACGCCCAACCAAGTATGTATAGCAATCGCTAGGACGAAGAAGCCGCTGGAAACATCGCCAATCTGCAGGAACCAGGCTTGCGCAAAGCACGCTTCGGTAGACGGCACAATCTTGTCGATACGGAGCCAGTGGAAGGATATCGAGAAGGCGATGGATTGTTGGAGATCGGCCAGCAGCAGGTTGTAGATGAGAATGACATATTGATTGTAGCCGACGTATTGCTTGTAATGTTTCCTCCAGGATATCATGCGTTGCATGATGAATACAAGTAGCGTAGTTACTGATACCATGCTCATCAAGGCGAATACGCCCAGCGGAATCAAGCCAGCCTTGTAGACGGATGAGATCTCTACACGTGAGAGCACAAGGTTAGTGAGACTCGTGCGGTTTGCGCGTGGGCGTTACGTACCCGTACTATCGGGCGGTGTGGGGGAGCGCTTCTCAGACATTTCCAATCCCAGCATGGCGAGTGGGTTGGCCATGATGTACGGTGTTTTGCACGTTCGGCACGAAGCGGGTCGGGGTCAGGCGGGGCGGTGCTTGTACGTTCTCCTCATACAAACACCATGGCTGGTGAGGCGACAACCCGTGACTGTTGTGGTGAAGGGGCCCGTGTCGATGTCGTGAATATCCAGTGAAGAGGGCCGCTGTTGGGGTGATGGCCAGATTCCCGTGCGTATGGAGGTGAAGGGGTACTCTGCGAGGTGTCGCGGGGTGTGTGCAGCGCTGCTATGGGCACAAAGGAGATGCTGCAGCAAAAGGAAGGCGGGCATGGCGTGAAGCAGCGAGCCAGAGCCCGGCGGTCTGAGAGGTGGCGGGACGTTGGTGATCTTGTCTTGATGCAGTTCCACACGACACGCCATAGGGAGCGAGCAGCAGTGCGCCACCACGTGGAGCACAGCCCTGACACGACCCGGGCATGCTCTTGCAAGTCGTCTGTGCAGACGCCCTAGGCGTCACAACACTGCTGGAGCCACAAAGCGGTGCCATCCGGCGGGTGGGCGTATCCAGGTGCGTCGGCGAATCTGGCGTGATTTGTTCTTTGAGCGTCGGCGTCCTTGTAGACAAGGCGGCTGGGGCTGTGCCGCAGCCTGTACCTCCGGGCCGGCGGCGTCTGCGAGTCCATTTCTGCGACGACCGCGCCGCGCGCTATCGACGTCGTCTCTTTGTGCTCGTGCCGTGTGCATTTTGTGGGGGAGTTGGTGGTAGCTTGGCGACTGTGGAGGATGTGACGCTACGCATAAAGGCGCTAGCCCGTTCGGCGCTAGCGCGCCTGGCGTAAGGGGGAGTTGGCTGCTGGAAACCGAATTGTCCACCACTCGAGCACGCGTCCGGTCCAACAACCGGCTTTTCCACCACCAGCCCCAAGCAGCCACCCATTGACTGGTGGACATCCAGCCCTGTTGCTGCCCCGCCCTCCATGGCCATGCGAGCCGCGTCTACATGTGCGTTGCGTTGACAGCCGGCTTGGAGCACCGAGACGGGTGCCCTACCTCCACCACGCATCATGGACACTGCATAACAAAATATCCCCATCCGCGCCATTCCGAAAACCAGGCTACCACACCGCGCCAAACACCCTCACAGCGCTCTGGTGCGAGGTCGCGTCTAACTCTTCTACGCAAATCAAACTTCAGCCACAAACTGTAACCACCGCCACGCACAACAACGGACTCGGCACAGGCTGCCAAACGGTCGACTTGCCTGTCTTGGAAGCCTCGACAAGCTTTTTTGTTGACGCTACAGGGCTTCCAGCAGAGCTTCCTCAGCCCCTGAATGCATGCACTTGCAGTTGCTCGTTCACCTGCTCCATCACATGCAGTTGTTTTACAGTAGGCTTGGAACGGCGCGTTCCCGCGGAGAACCTGACTGTGTACGGCAAGGCCGCCGCGGTAATACGTGTACTTGTAGACGCGCTGCCATCGTACCATGTCTCCGCATTCCTGCGCACTTGTCGAGCCGTTCAAGCAACCCAATCGACAGGGGTCGGCACAGGGGCCGCCCGGCATCTTCATCACAAAGTCAGCTGGAGCAACGCCGTGTAGACTACACTCTAGGCTTGGCTTCTTCCCTCCCAACGAGCTATGCTTGTTGTAGCCATGGCTACGCGCAGTGTCCTAATATACATCCCGTGGCTGATCTAGAACAGTCGTATATCGATCATAGTTAATAAAAATCGAGACACAGATCTAGAACATGTTTAGACAGGACGGTAAGTTAATATAAAAAGGGCCGAGCTCCTCGGTCGCGGCGAACATGAACCCCGAGCTCCCTTGCGATCCTCCAATTCTCTCACGATCCTTCCAATCTCATGCTGCCATGCCCGGTGAGATGTTCGGTACATCAGTGTAAGAGAATACGCCATAGTAGTCAGCAGAAGATATAGTGCTCTGCAGACGGCGTCGTATTCTCAGGCGGCATAGAGTTCAGCAGACGGCATATATATTAGTGACAGCTGTATGGCCAGGTGGCAGATACTGAGCATAACAGAAAGATAGATTGGGACTGGTATACTCTTTCTCGTCTCTGTTCTGTGCCTCGATTGAATTCAACTAGTTAAAATCTTCTCCATTCACAGTATTCAGCACACAACACAGTATGAAGACTGGGGTTGCCGTGCTATAGGACATAGTACTTCCAGTATACATCTATTCCGAACAGGATAATGGATCTTGAAACCTAATTTTTAGAAGTGACGCCAACATGTAACAGCCCCCAGCATTAGTAGCTTACGGGACCTGGTGTCGATGATAACGCATAAAGGGTACAGTACTAAAAAAAAGTACGTTATGCGGCAATTCTTCCAAACTACCCCGCCATCACGTGTCTAGGCGTCGACGTGTGATCAAGTAGCCTAATACTAACATGCAAGTAGAGCGTCATCGTCTACAATCGCTGTCAATAGCACACAGCTCACTATCAATAGCAAATGCTCACCATTCGTGCTATAGCTTGTATATCAGATGATGACGCCATTCACACTCTACACCAGCATTCAAGGTATCCTTACGTCCAACTATCACCTGTTCACCGGACCACTCCCGCAACACCTTTCCTTCCCTTATCTCCACACCACACTAATCCTGAAACAGTACCATCTCTCCCCAAGCCTCCACCTGGTCTCTCGTCTGTGGAAGAAGAACAAAAAATCAACGCTTGAGTCTGACACCCCGCATACCTACGTACATGGGGAGAGCCTTTTTTTAATACTACATAAAAAGACGCACGTCATTTAAATCACTAGCAATAGGCAAAATACCGAGTGAGCTACTAACACAATCTCAACTAACCTTTGTACGCTCACTACCGGTTTCTTGCGAAGCAGAGGAACCAGGGATTTTTCCGTGGCTATCGCGGCAGTGGTGAGGGTGTGGGTGGCCTAGATGGATAGAGCAGGAAAAAACATGAAGGTACACGCGTCTTCACGCCTAAGTATTACACGCAGCAACGTCATATCTAAGCGTGCTTGTTTGGCAGTTGGAAAGATGTGTATGAACAGTGCTTATGTATACACATGCTGATTTCTAAGCTGCGCCAATCTAGAGTAGTAGTGTGAAAACCGCAGAAGATATCTTTTCAAAGGACAAATGCGGCTGGTTTCTTGCGTGTAAAACTCGGCGGTGCAAAAGGATGTAGTAGATACATATATCTTGACTAGTGAACTGGACATCGCCATGTCCCAGTTCTCCAGCCAAATCACTCTCGATATCTTGGTATAATACGACTCACACGTCTGACAATAAGTCCGAGTATATATATATCAGATACCTAGCGCAGGTCCACATCCGAATAGCTATCGTTGCCACCAATGTACCAACGATCACAGCCTCATATACCCACCGATCCCGAGTCTTAGCCTGTTCCCTAGATTTCATGTTATGACGCCCCATCGCTGGCACAATATGCATCTAGATATAAACGACGCCACTACATGAACTGCTAGTTGCAACAAGGCATGCATACGCCATAAAATCCAGAACGCACAGAGTACCTACCAAAAAAAACGCCTATTTTGCTTCCTCAAACAAAAACTTCCTCTTCCTCATCGTCCCTATCTTTTTCGGCTTCTCTCCCTGTCCATCGCCCCCCCTTCCCCCCCTTTCACCGTCATCCACAAAACCCCCCCCCCACGCCTACATCCACACATCTCCTCGCAGACTACTCAGCCACCTATCTACTCAACCACATACCCATCCATCCTCATTCCACGCTCAGCAAGCCAGAAATATCACTACATTACCAGCCCCCCCCTATTCACTCCCCCTAACAGACCCGCAAGCGTACCATCCTTTCCCCACCTGACCTTGACATGGCAACGCACATACAATATGCAAGATAATAGAAGAAAATAGTGCGATAGCATACATATACCTAAGCCGCAATAAGCAGGTGTAATTGTACTTTACACTCGCATGTTTTGTCTAGAGAGATCGCGTTTAGCAAGCCCGATTATTTATTGGGAAAATGTATTTGTCTTGGTGATTGAAGAGAGTGGCGCGTGTGATTGAGTGGTGTTGCTGTGTGGAAGGTGATTGTGATGGGGTCTGGTTCGGCGGGGATGGGATGAGTGTTGTGTTGCAGGATTGAAAGCTTGTAGCTATTAGTGTACCTGCTTTGGCAATGTGTAAGATACATGAGGCGATTACGTTTGTGTTGTACTGGTGTTGTGTAGGGTTGAGTTGAAGTAGAGTTATACTGATGTCCAGAATACGTGTGGAGGATCAGCACAGACATTGGAGTTCAGAATGTAGATATACGTGAGTGAAGAGACTGTTATAGCGATATATCCGTGTACCAAAGAATACAATCAACATTACGAATATCTAAAAACAACAAAATGCTTAAAATCTATGGGTATTCAACATGCAATACAGCACTCTACCATCGCATAACAAAAAGCACTCATTAGTAATTACAAAAGAAACAGTATTCCACCATATGTACATCGCATCCAGCAGGTCTGGTCTCCAACAGTATACATACATTACATGACAAACGTCTACTACAAATCGGCTCACCCAGCAATCTCCTTTTCCAAAAACCCATTTAGTCTTCCGCTTTCCAAGTGCGATCGCACGTCACGGAGGCGGCCGCCCTCGCCTACCTCGGCGAAACAGTCAAAGTCGCGGATACCTTCCATGCGGTGCGCGACAACGACAACAGTCATGTCGTGGCCAAAGACCTCGTCTCGAAGGACTTGTTGGACAATCTTGTCGGTTTCGAAATCGAGACTCGCAGTTGCCTCGTCCATGACGAGGAGTTTTCGGCCGGCGCCGCCGTGTTGGTGGCGGAGGATGATTCGGGCGAGACACAAGAGTTGTTTCTGGCCGATGGAGAAGGTCGCTGCAGAAGTGCTGGTGTCGAGGCCGTTGGGGAGATTGGATATCAGTGCTGACATTTTGAGTTTGGCAAGGATGGCGAAGATGTCTTCGTCGGATATGCTGGCGAGGGCAAAGGGGTTGAGATTTTGCCTTATTGTGCAGTCTGGCAGGAGGAAAGGCGCCTGGGGGAGTGTGAGGAGGCGCTCGCGCAGCGCTTGGCGGGGGATCATGTCGAGTGGGATGCCGTCTATGGCAATGGTACCACTGGTTTGGGGGACGAGGTTGAGTAGTGAGGAGAGAATGGTGGATTTTCCCGAGCCGGAGGCGCCGACAAAGGCTGTTTTGTAGCCGGGCAGGACTTCCAGCGAGAGATTCGAGATGGTCGGGCGGTCTTTCCAGGCTGCAGTGACGTTGGAGAAGCTAATATGGCCTTGAGAGGGCCAGTCGGGCGGGGGTTCAGCAATTTCCGTAGATTGGTGTTCGGAAGAGGTTGTGAGGGCAAAGGTCCGAATGCGAGACACTGCCCCAATGCACATTTCGAGTTTTGTCCAATTCTCGAGAAGGGCTTTGGTGCTGATGCTAAAGTTGATGATACTAACGAGAGCAGTTCCAATCAGGCCTGGGGCAATGTGGCCTTTGGTTTCGACAGCAATGGCTATGAAGACAATGGCAATTCCTGCGACGACCGAGTCGAGAACAAGATTGAGCCAGCGTTGGACACAGAAGAGAAGATAAAAAGGCTTTTGTGAGAAGTCGAGTCTCTTCAAGAATCGGCTTTCATAACCTTCCTGCGCATTGTACGCTCTGATAGCGGCCAGTCCAGAGAGTGTCTCGAGGAAGTGAGAGAAGAGTGGGCCTTTTGCTTCAATGTCAAGGAGACGAAGCTGCCGACCAGTACGGAGATAGAATTTCTGCAGGAGGAAGAAGACAGCAAGTACTGCTGGCATGGTGGCAGCGATATAGCCAGATGAGACGGCAATGACAACGAGATTGCCCAACGTCGAGATCAGTTCGATCGAAGTATTGAAGAGAGCCAGAGGTAGCTCCATGTCAATGAGTTGGAGGTCTTGGCTGAAACGATTGAGGAGGTGAGCAGCGTTGTCGCCTGCAAAGAGAGAGAGTGGTGCATCAAGAGTGGTGCGCAAAAGTACATCATGAAAGTTCGATGAAGCACGCGGCATCATGTTGATGATGAGCACTAGGCATGCTGCTGCTAGGCCAGCAATGGCGATGCATGAGAGGCCAAAGTATGTTCCGAGATATAAGCCCAGTCTACCGTGTGGATGATGCACGTTGTGCGCTGACCACCACCCGACAATGTATTGCGGGAAGATGAGGGCGAACACGAATATGCCTCCAAAGAAGAAGAACAGAGCGAGATTGACTAGACCAACTTTTTGTGCGTAGTACTTGTAGACGGTGAAATCTCCGGTGCGCCGTTGCTGCCCCACAACTTGCGTCGCTGTTTGAGTTTCCATAGGAGCGCTGAGCGTGATGGCCTTGTAATCGTTGTGCTCGACATCCTTCTCTCCAGCCTGAACGTATGCTGAGATTGAAGATCCCAGCTTTGAATAAGGGCCTTGTTCAGCAATCGTGCCGTCAGCGGCCAAGACAATGATGTGATCCGCTGAAGACAGACGATGCAGAGCATTGGTGGCAAAGATGACTGTCTGGCCGCTGTTCCGCAGTAGGCCATCAGGTCCAAATAGGCGAGTGAAAATGATCTCTTCTGTAGTGGCATCAAGCCCGCTCATAACGTCATCCAAGATGATAACGGGCTGCCTGGAGTACACAGCTCGAGCAAGACCAACACGGGCTTGCTGGCCACCGCTGAGGTTTGAGCCGCCATCATCCACAATCTCATAGTCTCCGTTAGGTAGGCGGGCGATGTCGTCACGAAGAGCGCATGCGTCGAGAACCGTGCCATACCAGCGCTGGTCCAATATGCTCGTGGCGACAATGTTGTTGCGGATAGTATCATTGATAAGCCAAGGAGTTTGGCCTGCAAATGCGGCGTTGTTGAGAGTCGTTGGGAGATGTCCTTCATTGAAAGTGGTTTCTCCAAGCATCGCATGAAGCAGTGTCGACTTGCCGCAGCCTACCGGGCCGACGATGAAGGTCAAAGAGCCTCGTGTGATAGAAAATGTCGCGTCTTGGATAATGTATCCTTGCTCTTCACTCCAGCCAGCGGAGACATGTGTGGCGGTGATGGCACCTTTTCTCTCAGATATAGGTGGCCAGATGCCCTTCAAGTTGACTGACAACGTCGTCGTACTCAGCGGAGACAGTGGCCGGCGATGGCTGTCGAGAGCCAAATACTCTCCTATCCGCTGAATCGCCCCGATTGCTGCGACAAGACCAGCGATGGCGTCCAGGATCATAGCCATGGGAGTTCGCAGCAGCGAGAAAATGGAAAGTGCCGTGAAGCCAATTTCACTTGTGACAGGCGTGGTGTTGTTTCGCTTTGCCAAGAGAGAAAATATGCCAAACGAGAAGATTGGTCCCATGGCTGCAGTGGTATACGACAGACAGACGATGAGGGCCAAGGCGTTCTTGAACTTACGAGATGCTTTGATCTCTTCGTGGCGGAGTTCTTGCAGCTTCTTCTCCATGACGACTTGTAGCCCACCCATTCTGACTTCTTTGATGGCTGCGAGTGTGTCGGAGGTTGCTTTGATGCGTCTCTCAATTCCTTCAATCCAGAGACGCTGGCGCTGTCCCATGCTTGCAGCGACTCGCAGACCGACTGCGCTGCAAAGCAGGAAGAGGACACCAGGTGCAGCGGACGCAGGCCCAAGCTGTCGTTGCAGGAGGAAGATGCCCAGACCAATGTCAATGCAGCTGGCCCAACATTCATGCATAAAACGTAGCCCGCTGGCAGTCCGTTCAATATCAGCGCTCATCAAAGTGACGGCGGAACCCTTTTGTGCGGTCGGGACAGAGACGGTCAGAGTCTTGGTGTAGATGAGATAGATCAAGGTACCCCGTAGCTTGGTGATGACGCGATATGTTTTGTGCTGAGCGTTCGCATTAGCGATGGCTATGCCGATGTAGATGAAGGCGGTAGCGCCAATAAGGCCGTATGCCAGTTGCTTCTCCACCCGAGTATCAGGAGCAGCAGTAGCATAAGAAACAACTTGGGTAAGCAGGAACGGCTGTGCAAAGGTAAAGCCAGATAGTGCCAAACGAGGTAGCACGCCTTCAAGGATGAAATTCCTGTGCGAGCTGAAGAGAAGCCTGAGGAGAGTGCCAGGTGTGCGTCGAGGCAAGGTCGTCCACTGCGACCACACTTTTTCGAAGAAGTCCTGTGAGCGCAAGCCAGTGTCAATGGCTGGGAGACGCGGAACGTCGAGGATGGTCTTGAAGCCCAGCCAGAAGAGCGGGTTCAGCCACCAGAAAAGGCCTCTAGTATAGATATTGGCTCTTGTCTCACGCGGAAGTCTATGGTCGGTGGTGGCTGCATTGGAACAGATGTTAATAGCCAGGAAGAGGACCAGATGTACACCGACACCGACAGAGAAGGTGATGGCAAACGGCCGGTTGTCCTGGATGACCCAAAGCGTGCGGGTGCGGACAACGTCAAACAAGAGTATAAGTCCGAGATACAGAGAGAGGAGCGAAGCCGGGCGAGGACTTCGGTAATGCTCCAGATGTGTCAGGATCGGCAGACATATTGCTACGAACACGCAGAGGACAGCGGCGGGGATGGAAAAGGAGGTCCGCGGGGCCACAAGACAGAGGACGAGGAGCTTGATGGCGTTGATGAAGATCAAGGCGATGTGTGCTGTCTGTAGCAAAGGTCAGTGAGCAGGGATCCATGGTGGAGTGAGCGAGGAACTGACCTGCTTGACCCAGTACTGGTCCAGTCTCTTGCTGGTAGATGGACATGGTCCTCTGCTCAGAAGCTGAAACGCCCTTGATACCAGCAGAATGGTGAGTAGGGCATTTGGGACCAGGGACAGGAAAATCTCCTCAAACAACAGCGTAAAGTCGAAACCGTTGTAGCAGGCGGGCACCGCTGCAACGACCGGGCCAAAGGCAGCCTCGTCGCGAACCAGACATGAGAGGGGCATGGTTGCTGCAGTGACTGCTGGGAGCGGGTGCTGGTCGACTCCCTGTGACTTGCTTCTGCTGCTTCATATTACGTCGTACGTGATGCCCCCACCACAGCATCTGGCTGCATGGAGGGCTCCCTCGTGGCCTGCCGTATCCAGGCGGCGGCCTTGCTGGCGCTAGCCGGAGCCCATGGCACGCAATTAGCAATGGGCATACAGTCAGCGGGGGGCATCCTGTTCTGGAACCTGTGCCCTGCGGTGCTGGCCATGTGGTGGTGGGACTTGTCAGGAGGAGGCACAGCATGCGGCAAGGAATGCTGACAGAGCGTTAGGCGCCCAGCGCTAGGGATGGGGCAGCCGGGCTAAGCCTCGCGTGTTGCAAGTTGGCTGGGAGAAGCGCTGGGAGGATGGCGAACCTGGTGTAGTGCCGGCTATTATTATGCAGCTTCATCAAGGGGTGATGGAGTGATGGACGAGCCTTACCACCAAGACAACCACGCCACGCCCAGCCAATCAGCACGCGGGCTAGGCTGCGCTGGGACTAGCGCATACCGCCCGCCGCTCGACGCCATGCCGCCGCCGCTGGTCGACAGCGTCGCGCGCCGTTTTCTGCTGTGGATGAGCCTCCAGCCGACTCTATCTATGGCATGGGAAAGCCGCCGGCTTACTGCCCGCCGAACAGGTGCCCGTCTTCTGCAGGCCTGGTTCAGGCAAAGGGCGGCCTGCCCGCCCTGCAAGCCACTTCCGCCCCAGCACTATACACAATGCATGTATCATGGCCCCGATTGGGGAACACGACTGCGCCTTCCTAGGCACACGGCACAGGCGCCTACGTTTCCAGTGTGTTTGTCCTCTGCCACTCAGCCTCAGTGTCCACGACAACCACACCAGCGCCGCCCTCGCTCGCATCCATAACAAGACCCCTTCGCCTCGCCGAGGAACATCGCATCCCACATCAGCTCGCCACCAACTCCGCACTCCGCACTCCACACTCCACACACGCTCGTGTCGCTCATGCGATGAGACTCTCCTTTGCGCTCCTCAGCACCTTGCTGCTGCCCCTTCTCTCTGCCGCTTCACCCACTCCCACTCCCACTCCCGCCCCCTCTCTGGCACTTGCTGCTCGACATGGCCTCGCCTCGCCGCCTGAAGCCACTATTGCGCCTGCTCGCCGCGATGATCCATACGCTCCAAGCATCAAGCCCTTCTCACTGGACCTCCCTTCGATTGCAAAGCCGTCAATTGCAAAGCCCTCCATCCCATCTCTCTCGCTCGACCTCCCAGTCCAGACGTGCACGCCGGGCTTCCCCTCATACGTCACCCCTGGCGTCGATGGCTACGTTCCAGCGACGGCATGCAATGCGCTGTGGGTATACTTCCCCAGCTTCGCCGCAGCAGTGGCCTTTTCCGTTTTGTTTGGAATCATCACCTTCGCGCACCTGTGTCAGGCGGTCATGTATCGCAATGGTTTCTGCTGGGTCATCATAATGGCTGGTCTCTGGGAGACTTTTGCCTATGCTTTCCGCGCTCTTGGCTCCAAGGATCAACAGTCTGCTGGAATTGCACTTGTTGCTCAGATCTTGGTCTTGGTAGCGCCCATCTGTAAGTACAAACTGAAAGACGACCATACCTTCTCGTTCTAACATCCTTCCCCAGGGGTCAATGCCTTTGCATACATGGTCTTTGCTCGCATCGTCCACTTCTACTCGCCCACCCGCAAGGTCTGGGTCCTGTCGCCTTCTATTCTGGCTCTCATCTTCGTCTCCCTGGACATTCTCTCCTTTGTCATTCAGCTCGTCGGTGGCGGAATGGCTGGTCCAGGCGCAAGTCCCGAGTCTCAGAAAAAGGGCTTGAACATTTACATGGGTGGTATTGGCATGCAGGAGGGCTTCATTATTCTGTTCTTGGGCTTGGTCATCAAGTTTCATCGCGACCAGCTTCAGGCAGAAAGAGCCGGACGTCTGAATGCCGACAAGGCAGGCGGCTGGAAATGGTTGATCTGGGCCCTCTACGCATGCTTGCTGGCCATCACCATTCGCATCGTCTACCGCCTCGCTGAGTTCTCCGGTGGCCTGGGCGCAAGCAACCCTCTGCCAAGTAATGAGCCCGTCCTGTACGTCTTGGAGTCGACTCCAATGTGGCTGGCCATTCTTGTGTGGAACATTGTTCATCCTGGTCGCTTCATTCAAGGTCCAGATGCCAAGATGCCGCGCTCGTGGCTGTCGCGCCATCTCTGCTGCTGCTGCCACAGACGTCGCTGTGATGACTGCCATGGCAAGCTCGGACATGCTGGACCTCACCACCACAGCTTGTCGGGCAACTCTGAAGTGGAGGAAAACCGAGAGATGAACCCCGTCTCGAAGAAACAAAGAGGTCGTGTTTCTGTCACCGCGGCCAACCCTTTTCTGGACGCACAGTCTCGCGACTCTTCTCCCACCGGTGACGCCAGAGAGCAGCTCCGACTTCGCCCGCCACCAGCTGCCGACAATCATCGCGAAGTCAGCCCCGAGCCGCATGCATACACTGCATACCGTCCTCGCTAGTATATGAGCTAAGCAGAAGGAACCCAATCCGCTTAACTCCCTCCATTGACAACAAGTCAAACAAAAACAGGCAGTGTGCCTGAGAGATAGATCGCCAAAAAGACATGTGCAAGACCAGCTGGGTCAGACACATCGAATGACAAGATAAAACCTTATACCAAAAGCACAAGCAAGCGAAAAGTACGCCGTGCATCGAATAAAATAAACTGCTTTGTAAAGTTACCAAAACTTCCAACCCTCACTCTTGCTACAGATCTTCTTCCACTTCAATCTTAGACTAAGATCCTTGACTATCTCGAAGGTGCATCATCGATCGAAGATCATGCCCATAAAAAACTTAGGCTGATCAATGGGTACGGGTACCGGACTGGGTAGGGATCGACAGGAACTGAGTAGGCTATGTAGGGGTTACCAAACCTTGGGTAGTGTTGTGTAGAGGTTACGTCGCATGGACCAAGTACTGTAATTTGGTAAGAGTGGTAGGAGCTTGGGTATAGGTTGGGTAGAGTACATCACCTCGGTATACTCATGAAACGTCGAACTCGACCTCTACCGATACATCTCGCGAGACTCGCAGAGTCGCACGTAGAGCCTGTTGCCTCATGCATGCCAAAATCACTCTAAAAACTGCCAGTGTCAACCTTTTGCGTATATCTTGACGTAGTGAAAGACACAATGTTTTGGAACTTTAGCTCTGGCAGTTCACAATGAGGATTTCATGTTGAAAGAAAAGGATTTTGCAGTGCTATAGTTCAGTGTCACAGATGGGTAATTTGGTGTACAAGGACTAGTATTTCTCATTCACCTGTCTCTGCAGGAATTGACCTCAGGGTTTAATGCCAAGAAATGGATAGAGATGGTTAGGTCTTACGTACTTAAATCTGGCGCTCTGCTCGAGCCCGCGCCACCTGCCATTCTCCCGCTGGCGGGGTGGCTTCGGGTTCCGTGGGCGGCGGGGTGGCTGCCATTGGCGGGTGGCGCGAGCAGCCAAGACTTGGCAATCCTACTCATCTCAACCGAACACCACCATTTTATGGAGCCTCAGCCACAACCGGTAGCTCCTCCACCTGGACCTCAACCCCATCCTTGGCAGTGACGATGTCCCCACTCACCTTGACCTCAATCTCATCTGGGAACGTCACCTCATACCGCCATCCAAACCTATCCTCGCCAGTTCCCCTGATAGAATCTCCAATAACCTCATTCAGTTTCTTGGCAGCAGGACCGGCCTCTCCATTCTCACAGTAGACGAACTTCTCGCCCGTTTCTTCGTTTGTGATGCTTGAGATGGGCAGCACAGAGACTAGGCAACATCAGCATCAGGCGAGATGATATAAAAAAGAATGAAAGGAGAAGAAGAGTAACATACCTGCAGTACCAACAGCAATAACCTCTTTGAAGCTCGCGAGCTCCTCAATAGGTACCCGGCGCCGCTCGACCTTCCACCCCAAAACCTCTGCGGCAAGGGTCTGCAGTGTGTCGCTCGTCACGCTATCAATGACCTGCTTGCTATCCGGAATCACGACGGTGCCATCGTGGGTGATACCAACGAAGCCTGACGAGCCGAACTCTTCTATCTCAGTACGGGTGCGCGCATCGACGAAGAGCTGCATGGGGAAGCCGCGCTTCATGGCTGCCTGTGCAGGCAGGATTCCCGACGCATAGTTGCCCCCGATTTTGGCGTGCCCAGTGCCGAGCGGCGCCGCGCGGTCGTATGTCGTTGATATGCACGCTGGAATGGGGCGCACGCCCAGATATGTCGACGCGGCGTGGGCGTATACTGCCAATTTGACGGTTGTAGGGACGGGTGTGAGCGTGAGATGAGGCGAGGTAGGAATCAGGACAGGCCTGATGTAGAGGATTGCGGATGAGGTTGCTGGGCCCAGGAGGTGGGCGTTGGAGCGGATGAGGAGGTTGAGAGCTGCGAAGAAGGTCTCAGGAGGGGGAGTGGGCAGCCCGATTGTGGCAGCCGAGTGTGTGAGGCGCCGGTAATGGAAGTCGGGGCGGAAGATGGTTATGGTGTCGTTGTCGTGCCGAGTTGCTTTGAGACCCTCGAAAGCTTGCATGCCATAGTTGAGGGCAGGCGAGAGGCCGTGGATCTGGAGGTATGGAGAGGCGTGTAGAGTCGGAGACGTCCATTGCTCCGTAGCAAGGGAGAAGGACGTCTCGACATGGGAGGGGATAGGGTTGGAGGGAGTATCCTCTGTGGGGACATTGAGGGTGAGGGTAGACCACTCCATGGTTGTGAGGGGAGCGGGAGGTGCCATGACTCTGTCTGCGTGGGTATACTCAAAATCGCAGTGATTTCTTGGAAAAAGTGAGTGAGCTGTTTGAAGGAGAGAAAAGACTTGATTGTTGATTTCGTTGCTAGGAAACAGATCACTTCTCAACCACCACGAGGGTCTCGCGTTTTCTTTTTACGGGCTAGACCACCACGTGCTGATGCAGGCTGTACAGTAGCAGCCTCGCCCGTCTCCTTCGGATTCCATAATCAGGCCATGCAGGATTTGGGCCCCCATCATCGTGTCCGTCTTACTTTTAGGCCTGTCTTCTCCCGCCGAACCCTGAAAGCAAGTCAGTCACTATCCGCCATCCTCATCCGCACAAGACAGTGGCGTTCCGAGACGCTTAGTCATTTCCGACAGCCCTTCTGTCAGTGTGTTGGCGGCCAAATGTTTCGTCTGCATCTGCAACGTCGGCCACCATTCACTACTTTTGTCCTGGCGCGCACATGTCTTGGGCCGTCTTGAGCGTCAAGCTAGCAGCGCTATTCTAGGGCGCGCGCAGCACCACCAATCCTCCACGCCCTATTAATCTATTTCCAAGTTTCTGCCTCGCTTTCCCTTTTTTTTTCCTTCCTAGAATAGCAGGCTGCCTGAACGGCTGAGCAGCAAGAGAGACAGAAAATTTTCCCGTTGGTTGGCCAGGAAATTTCACGTCATTTGTGGCTGATGTAAGGGACGCATGGCCTCTCGGTCTTGCATTGCATCGACCACGTTCCCCCGACGTACAGTAAACACCACACAGCCTTGGTTAGCCAATGTAACACAGGGGGGCTGCAAGTCATGTAGGGCCTCCACGGAGCAAAATAATCCATGTGGCGTAGCCAGGGAAAAAAAATTAAAATAACAACAGGTATGACTGCAGTACCGCAGTTTAGCACAAGTAATCAGTAAAAGATGACGGTTAGCCGTGGCGCACGCACATGTTGCATAAGACATAGACGATGGAAGAAGGGGGGGGGGGGGCGCAAGCGGAGGCGGAGACAGCAGCGGGGCCATCCGACGCCTCTTTTTCTTGTCCTCGCATTCGAAAGCTGAAAGCGAAACGAACAGGGTGGAAGAAGAGAGGAACGCCTAACGCCCGCCTTATTCATCCAACAGCATGCACATGCAAGAGTTGTAGGGGGGGGGGCCACCAGGGCGCAATCCTCGGAACCTCAATACCGATTGGCTGTGGAAAAATACCCGTCCTCTCCCCCCCATGCATGTTGCATGTTGCTTGCATACAAGCCCTAATCCACGTTGCCGGGGAGTAAAAAGAAACAAAAAAAAGGATAAAATACACTAAGTAACTCGCTTGCTTACTAACAGGTATTAGCCTCCGCGCAAGCGCCGGCGCTTAGAACGCTGACATGCATGACATAAGTACGTAAGTAAGTATACACCCAAGTAAGTAAGTAACCCAGGGGTGTGTGTGGTGGTCTATTATTATTGTTCCATTAGAGTCTAGTGAGCTCGAGGCTATGTAAGACTTTGGCCGAGGCCGTTCTAACTAGATTTATTTACAAATACGAGTTTGTGCTTGAAGTGTGTCTG